ATTCCCTTCTTAAATAGGCATATGACTTTGCTTATGTCACTAGGGCCAGAACATCTCTCTCATTCCCTCTCCCTATCTCCTCTGCTCTCTCCCTGGTGTCTGTCACAAGTTCAGGAGGATGTTCTGCGTGTCTTCAAGCACAGGCCTGCACCCTCCCCCTTCTACATCATGTCATAAAGACGTCTACAGCTGCCTATTTATTCTCCAGCAGCTTCACCGGCTTCCAAAACATCAGCTGGAGACCGGTTCAGCTTTCCAGATTTACCAGAGGCACGAGTAGGACATCATTTCACTTCTTCTATGCAAGAAGTTCTGACACGTAAGTTCCTGTCTCCTTCTACTATATAGTCTTTATCTGTATGCATGCAACAAAAATAAACCATTGCATATATTTAGTCACGGTAAAATGTATTACCAGAAAATGTATGTAAGTAAGCATTTAAATTACAATGATTACGCTTTACACAAAAAGAAATGTATAAAGCCCAAAGGAGGGATCTAAGTCATCCGAAAGCTTGCTTCTTTAAGAGATAGCCAATAAACGGTATCACTTAACTTCTAAACTTTCTGCATTCATCAATGGCTAACTTGGTATAGTATTCTCCTACTGCTAATTAAAAAGTTGTAGAGTCCCAAAAATATAACTGTATATTATTAGTAATTGTACAGTTTGGATTTGTTTCAAGTATAATGGTTTTGTTGTATATTTAAATTATTGCATATTTTAATTTTCTTAACTTCAGTTTCTTTTGAAAATATTTTCCAGCATCATTAGCAAATCAGCCTATTTAAAAATGTACTGAATATGTAATAGACAGATTAATTGAAATGCTCTAGGACTGGATGCGCACAGTGATGCAGCACAACTGTCAAAGGTTGGTTACTGCAGATAATACAAGGCTACACACGGAGGATGGTACTGTAGGTTGGTAGGCTCTGCACAGACTGCTGGTGCTTGAAACTCCTTATAGATCATAACTGAATGCCTTGTTTCAAAGCTCAAAAATGAAAAATGAATAAGGAGGATGTAGGCAAGGTGTACACAGAGATTGGCGCTTTGATGAGGCTAGGTTTACACTCATGCGGTGTGGTACATCGCATGTGATTTGCACAGGAACAGCACCGCATTCCTGTGCAAATCACATGCGAATTGTGTGCGGTGCGATTTGTGCCATACATTATGGCTCAAATCGCACCACATCCGCACCAAAAAGGTGCAGGACCCTATTTTTGTGTCCAGATCACATGGGTATTCACACCTATGCAATCCAATTCTGCACTACACACCGCATTTTGCTGACCGATTTTGGGGTGTTGTTAACTTAACATACCTGCAACGGTTCTCATGAACGGGGTGTGATTCTGATGCAGTGCGGAATTCGCACAGAAAATGCTGCAAATTCTGGACCGCATCAGTGTGAACCCAGGTTCCAGGTCCCACTTTGCTTTCCCAACTCTTACAAGTATTTGTTGTGGCTAATGTACTTCAGTTTTCGGCAATGATTCTGTGTGCCATCTGTACGGGGAATGTTGAATACATGCATTACCTTGTTCTAGAAACGTTTACATTGTTTGGAATTTGTAGAGCCACTGATTTTATCACATCTTTTCAGGGTTCCTTAACACCATAGTAAATAGACAAAGTCCCGAGTATTCATCTAACAACACATGGATAACATTTATCACATGAGAAATGAAGTGAATTATAATAAAGAGGGTCTTTAAGTAAAATTCACCCTTCACATGGATATGTATTAGGTTACATATTAGCATTAAGAAATTAATTTTTTTATTTAAAGGGAAAAAGTTCTTCTTTCTTTCCGTGAATAAAAACCACTGTTGCCATTTCAGCTTGGGCAACTTGAAATGACATGGTCTTTGACAACCAATGGCTACTGAAAAGAGCCTAATGGTTTAGCAGTAAGGTGATAAAGGAATCAAAATATTCACCCCATGTGCTTCCAAACTATAAAAAGAAATACACATTGATAAGACTGTTTACATCAAGTTGATCTTTTTCACATTTATATTATAAAAAAAAATAAACAAGACTAAAGTTCCCATTGTAATATATATTAAAAGGAAGGACCTTTGAGGACATAAGTACTGTTTTCTCAGCCAGCTAGGTGTATCTAAAGCTGGACAAAATAACATGCCATAGAGACATTTGGAAGTTGCTCTTTTACACATCCAGGAGGTTGTAATGCTAATATAAATTTGTTTAAATTGTTTCTATCCTCTGGTACAGTACAGTCAGCTCTTATTGTTTATAGTGTTACTAAACCCAAAACGTAAAATCAGTCTGTGTATACAGTAAATCATGCTTGTTATACTCACTGTGGAACCTAAGGGGTTAATCCTACGTGTTGTGTTAAAAGGCTGTTTGATCCTGTCTTCTCTGATCCCCTACCTTCTTCTACTGTCCCCAGTCCATCTGCTGATAGTACAGAGCTTTAGGAGTCACTCTGCACATGCTCAGTTTAGTGTGTATTGCTAGAGAGTTTTTTTTTTTTTTCTTGGGAGGGTTCATGTGATCGGCACAGGGTCAATCAGCGCTGTCCTGACAGAGGGTGGGGGGTTATGCAGCCTCTTAGGACAGTCAAGCAGAATGAAAAACTCCTCCTACAAGCTTTAACCAGTGCTCTGCAGGTCACTGATAGAAGTCACAAGACTGCTCTAACTGCTGATGAGAAAAGGTATTTAGCAGTTTATATTTACTAAAATAATTGCATTTCCATGTTCTGTGTACTGTGGGAGACCAGATATAGTGAATGCAGGGTCCTGGGTTTAGTAACACTTGAAATTACTGAACACACTATCATTAAATAAAGACATAAGTAATCTTGTAGTAAATTCCACCTGGGGCTCACCAGTCTGAGCGATAGTTCAGGATATGAAGAACCACATACTTTTTCCTGTTATAATATTATAAACATTCATTCAAATAGAGTTTCCAGTTTCCTATTAATGAATTGGTGTTCAAATATTATATGAAAAATGAAACTATGCTTTCAATAAGTAAATGCTGCACACTTGGGCCAGACAATAGGCAATTATTCTTCGGAGAGACAGATGTTACCTGACTGAGATCTGCTTGTCTGCAAGCCTTAGGCTGACAATACACAAATATATTTTTTTTTGCTCAGCCAAATCTAACAGATTTCTCCATCCATGCAAATGGCGCAGATGGATAAATCCCCCTGCCTTGCTATTGTACTCTGACAGCTGCTAATGGCTGAACAGCTGATTGGGTGCAGGTGATGTTCAGCCTAGAATTTTCAGGATGGTTTTCTTTGACAAAAGTCAGTTGAGTTTTGTAGATCCACCAGGGCACCATTAGATTCCTCTGAATCAGCCGAAACTCTAACAGTGTATAGCCAGCTAGTTGTCTCAGTGATGCTAGAAAATAACTGAAGCTTCCTGCTATAACATAGACTTACTGCAATAGTTCCTATTTCAGGCCAAGTTAAGAAGAGATGAAATCTGGATACTTAGATTTTTCAAAGTCCATGTGGAATGAAACTAGATGAAATAAGACTAAAATGGCACTATGCCAAGTCTTCTATAAATTTAGTGCTCACTAGTCACATTTCCCATTTCCTGTTTGACTTCAGTAAATTAAGAAGAATCAGTAAATTATACGGTTACATAGTTAGTCTGGCCATAAAAAGACAAACGTCTATCCAGTTCAACCATTAAAAAAAAAAAAAGTTATAATCCTGCAACCACAGTTGATCCAGAGGAAGGCAAAACAACCCAGCGAAGTATGATCCAAATTGCTCCTCTAGGAGAAAAAATTCCTTCCTGATCCCCCGAGAGGCAATCGGATATTCCCTGGATCAACTTTACCTATAAATGTTAGTATCCAGTTATATTCTGTGTATCCAAGGAAGAATCCAGGCCTTTTGTAAAGCAATCCACTGAGCTGGCCAGAACCAACTCTTGAGGGAATCTATTCCACATTTTCACAGCTCTCACTGTGAAGAAACCTTTTCATGTTTGGAGATGAAATTTATTTTCCTTCAGGTGTGAAGAGTGCCCCCTTGTCCTCTGTGATGACCTCAGGGTGAATAGCTCTACACCGAGTTCACTATATGAACCACTGATCTATTTATACATGTTGATCATATCCCCCTTTAATCTCCTCTTCTCATGACAGAATAAATTCAGTTCCTCTAATCTTTCCCATAGCTGAGCTCCTCCATACCTCTTATCAGTTTGGTTGCCCTCCTCTGTACTTTCTCCAGTTCCCCAATGTTCTTTTTGTGAATTGATGCCCAAAACTGAACTGCATATTCCAGATGAGGTATTACTAATGATTTGTACCGGGGTAATATGATATCATTCGCTCAAATTATTTGAGAAGAAAATGGATACAAGATATAGCTATATGAGAGTGATCACAGAGATACAGTGCCTTGTTGCTAAGAGTATCAAATCCAATTCCTTTTTAATTTTCAGACTCGGGCTGTAGTAATGGCAGCTGTAAGCTGATTGGTTGCAATTAGCATCATTTTCATAGTGTCTGTTAACCTCTGGGCTTCATGTGTCTATGAATCACCCGGGACAATAAGCAAAGATTGAAAATGAGGGTTAGGCTTGAAGCATAAAGCAAGATAAGGAATTAAAAATTTATGTAATGGTGGAAAGAGGTATTAGACAGCATAGTCTGTTAAAGGAAGCTGAGAAATAACAGACTAGCTAGATGACCAGGTGAAAATAAAGGGAAAAAAAGCCTAAATAAACAAAACGAATGCAGCCACCGACATCTAAGAATTGATGAGCTTCAATATATTAAATGTTTATTTTTAGATTTAATACCACTTTATATACAAATGGGAAAATAAAGAACACACATGCTATATATAAGGAAAATATTTAAAATATGAGGATTCAATTATATTAATAAAGCCTTTGCATTTCCTTTCAGGCTGTATCCACACCATTTTATATTGTCAGACAGTAGAGCTATTGAACCCACAGCTCTAAATTCTGCTTCAATGTTGAGGATGGAAGAAATAGCCAATGGCACCATAACAAGCCAGGGAAATGGCTTAACTCAGGATCCATCAAGCCAAGTTACCAATGGAAAAGACAACAATGAGTATCTCTATATACTAATAGTCATGTCTTTCTATGGAATATTTCTGATGGGTATCATGTTGGTCTATATGAGGTCCAAACGGAAGGAGAAAGAATCAAAGCTCTTTCTCCTTTATCAAGATGAGGAGAAACAATGGATGGAAATCAGGAAAAGTGCATCTTCATTGTCTGTAGCCAAGCCAACCCCACCTTGCACTGTATTTACAGTGCTACAGGATACCTTTGCAACTGGCAGGTTCTGTACTGATTGTAAAGGAGCAGATAGCAGTATCAGTTCTGAATCTTCATCTTCTGATGTACACTTTACCATCCAAGAAGAAGTCATTGAAGGACTGGTTCAGGACAAGGCAGATGAAAAGCCTGAAGAGCCAACTCAAATTTCCTAGCGACGAGCAAGAGATACTATTTATCTAAGGAGTCTAGAAGATCTCTGTTGAGGAGACGCTAGTCCTGGGTTTAGGGTCATATTGCCTAGTGAGCTCTTTTTAGAGACATGAACTACAAAAGGTTGAAAATCAAGCATGTTGCGGTGGGCTATAAATGTGTACAGAGAGGTAAAACATCATTAAAAGGCTTCATAGGCTTTAATGTTGAACCTAGCCCTAGAAACCGATCACAGGTCCTGTCCTTCTGGGGGCATAACACAGACCAATACGTATTCTGAGTGACCATATAGTTCTACAGAGCCATACTGAACTAATAGTGTCAGCATTAGATACATTAGTTTTTGGTCGGTGTCGTTCGTTCTTCATTCTGGACATATAAACATTGTCTTACACTGGGATAACTATTGTTGTAGAAGTTGTAGCCCAGAAATTGCTTTAGATCCAAGCCTGGGTACTTTAAGGGATGGTAACTAAAGCTTACAAAGCAAACAGAAGATGGTTGTTTCGTGACATTTATTTGTTGCACTGATACATGTCATAGTATACAAATTAACTTTATTACCTATTGCTTTACAGAAAGTCTTTAACTGCAGCACATTTTGATAGATTGCAGAAAGGTTTAAACAGTGATAAAGTTGCTCCCAGTTCTTTTCAATATTTACTTTAAAGAATTGTTTTAAGTACATTCAAATACAGTAAATGAATGTAAGACTTCAAAGCAAGGACATTTCTGTAATGTCTGTTTTATATACAGTTTCACATAAAAGGTTAGTCTATCCGATGAAGGTATTTCAATCTAGCATTCATGTGGGAAGGATGAAAGTGTCATACTGCCAATAACTTATCTGGACCTTCATTCTCAGCTTCACCCAACTCTAGCCATCCACTATGACTATTACAAGAGTGTTTTACTATATTAGGTTTGTGTTACATTATAGAGAGTGAACAAGAAAAGTAAGCATCTCTTGTTTGGCCTTATGAAGGCAGTAGTGGAAAACAGAGGTAACGGATCTTATCAGTGGAGATCTTTATATATACTGTAAATAGCCAGAGAGTGATTCATCCCATTGTACTGAAATGCACTTTGGTTGACTAAAGTCATTTTAGTGTATTCTATGACATTATAATGTATCACATTGGGTATATAGAACTCTGCCCTTTACAATCTACTTACTACCACATACAGTCATTTCTGGGTTAGAATCAGTTATTTTTGGGTCCAGTTGCTTTATAATTTTGCATGTATCAAAAATTAATATGTAATGTCAGTTTGCTTCCAGCACTTTGATCATCACCAGTGTTTATATTCTGACCAGCTGTACAAATGTATTAGACCTTGCCAGTATAAGAAGCTGAGTGATGTGTGTAATGAGTTTAATTCATTCTAAAGCAGAGGTTTATTATTGCAATATGATGGTTAACAAAGGGTAACAGCATCCTAATTCTACATGGCTGTGATTAGAGTGTAAACTGACCTCTTAAGTACTATTTATGTGACTTTATAAATTACAGACTTACATTGTTCATAGCCTTTTACCTTTTTCCTTTTTCACTGCACAAAACACAATTAATTTAGGTAGAACTGTGTGACATTCTGTCTAAAGCACAAAAAAACGTCCTTAAAACAAAGCAGCAAGTGGAAAAACATCTACCATATGCACTGACCAAATTCCTCCTCTTATCTGCCTAGAGCAATTCAAACAATGAGAGGTGACAGGTTTTAAGTTGCTATTTTTAAAACTGAAATTTTTATGTTCCCTTGTTAAATACGTCTAAAAAATCCAATGCTTAAAAAAGGTTTATTGGACTACATTTTGCAGTAACTGTGATGCACAAATACAAAAATCATAAAAATGGCAAAGTAAAAACTACCCACACAACATTTATACATAGATGGAGAGAATGAAAATGTTGATGGTGCAAGTATGTAATGTTTCTATTTATATGGTACTTTGTTCTAGAGAACAAAATCCTCATTCCCATTGTATTTTATTGTTTGTCTTCTATTTTATTTGATATGTCTCTGTTTTTATGAAGTGCTGTGAATATGTTGGTGCTATATGAATAAATGATTATAATAACAACCCTCTGTAATGGTCTTCTACTCAAGGTATACATACAGTATATATCCATGGATTTTACCACAATACCACTAGCACTATAATCTTCTGGATGCAGCTATGAAAGATCAAAGAACTAAAACTTCACAAAACTTCATATTTACTACAAATGTCTCTTATCTCTTATTTATTGCAGGTACTTATATAGCTCCTTCAGTTTACATATATATTGTACATTCACATCAGTCCCTAACCCTTAAGGAGCATACAATCTAAGGTCCCTAACTTATTCATACACTTACTAGGGCCAATATAGATATGAGCCAATTAACCTACCAGTATGTCTTTGGAGTGTGAAGAAACCAGAGTACCCAGATTATTCAACCCCACAGACAGAAATTGCAAACTCCCAGGCCAGTTTGCCATTGCTTTTGGATTCAAACCAATGACCGTATGCTGCTCACACGCAAAGAGGCTAACCATTTAGCCACTGTGCTGCCCTCAGAGTGCAGGGAGGAATAAAGAAGGGCAAATGTCAATGGGTGCTCAAATGACCACCTTTAAGATCTGTTATGCAAACAAGGTGTCAGTAATAAGGTGACAGGCCTTCTTTGATGTGTTTAGATGGGGAAACAGTGGTAATTGTCCAGAAAAAAATAAATCGCCCATCTTGGCCAAGGGAAAATTGACCCACTAGAATGTTGTTTTTTTTTCCACTGCAGCTGCTTGTTCTTTGAGACCACACTTAGTGGGTGAGCTGTGCAAGCAAGTCTGTGATTTAATCTGTATGTGAGTTTATGGCCACTCCATTTTTTAGTCCTTCACCAAGAACTGATCATTCAGTCTGATTGTTTCCTGCAAGTGAACTAGACTTAAAAGCTGTGCCATGACATAACTATTGATTCCTAGGTTGCAAAAAGGTCTAACGTCTAACTGCATACAAGCCTCAGGTGTTTATACAGGGTTGCATCAATTTCTCCTGGTTAGTCCCCAGTATCTCCTGGTCTAGTAAAGCCCCAAAATATATATACCTTCACTACTAAGTGTAACATGTACAGTTAGTGACCAAAATTATTGACCCCCCACCATGCTTGTAAAGGGGTTTAGGTGACTATAGTTACATTTGGAATTGTATTCAGAATCAAATCCTCCAGGCCCAAAACAGGACTAATTTTTGTTCACTACCCAAATGCAACTAAAATGACATCAATTTTGTGGTTACAGTAGTAAATGGTTCTTATGTGCAGTTTCTTCATTGCCACAATTATTACCCTTTAGGAAGACCCACCATCTGACAGAACATGCAAACTTCAGGCAGGTGGTGCCATCAGGTATTGATCCAACACCTGTGATGACCGTATGCTGCTCAGGCAGAAAGTGCACCCTAACAGCTTTGAAAATGCCACTGTTTACTCAGCTCCTCAGACAGTCCACAGGGTGGTTACTCAAACATGGTGAGGGCTAGCAATGGGAGCAAATGTCCAGGAAGATCTGTTAGCAAACAAGGTTGTCAGTTCACGATAAGGACAAGGCAACAGTTCTTTGAAGAAGATTGGAAATGATGCTTAAACATACCAAGTGAAACCTTAAATGTTTAACATCATTCGCTAGCCATTGCCCTTCCTGAAGAAAAAAAATCACTCTTCTGCTTGGGAAAATTGACCCACTAGTTGAAATGCTACCTGTTTTTCGTTTCCCAGAAAGAAGCATGCTGACTTCGACTTGTGCGCTGAGACCACCTTAGTGCGTAGAGTGTGAGAGAAGTCCCCGTGTGTACTGCTTAGGAACTGTAATGCTTGATTTATGGCTCGGTGACATTGGGTTTAGTGTTTTCAGCCCACAGAACTGACGCACACCTGCAGTATGATTGTTTCCTGTGCAAGAACTCCCAGGCGTTACCCCCTTGCCTGTCTCCAATGAATAAGAAGATTCCTAGCAGTAATGCAAATTTAATGCCACTGTGGACATACACAAATGATGTTTGGGATAGTGTTGTACTTGAGAAACCAGTTCACAACTCTTGGGCCCATGATACGTACTAATGAACTACTAAGTTTGGAGGATGTACAGGCCTATGATGTCCCTAGAAAACCACCTTTACAGCATGGTGGAGGGTTGAATCATTTTGGACACAATGTTATTCTTGGAGTGCAGGAACAGGGAAGCTCAGCGTGAAACCAGAGGTACCAGAGGAAACCCCCACACAGACAGAACATGCAAAACTCCAGGCAGGTGGTGCCATGGTTGGGATCCCAAAACAGCTTTAAAATGAATGACCTGAGGCTGGCTCAGGCAGAACAAGGTGGCTTAATCGTGTCCAGGAATACCATTTAGCCACTGGAGTTGCCCTCAGAGTGCAGGGAGGACAATGATCAATGAGCCAAGCACTTTTACCGGGCTAGTCCACTGGGAGCAAATGACCACACTTTAAGGAAAGGCTGGAACAGGGGTTGTGGAGTGGCCATCGCAGTCACCATGTTATTGGGATTGAGAAACCTCTGGTGGGAACATAAAAAAAAGCAAAATCCAGTGGCCAAGCCTAAGAATGTGACCCTGAACTGTTGTTTTTTTTTTGCCCTGATGAAGAATAGTGGCGAAGATAAGCTGTCCGTAGATCGTGCAAGACACTGTGTGTCAAGCTATGGGCAGTTTTTCACGTTTAAAAGCTGTTATAACTGTAAAGTCTGATTGCTGTACCTGATTGCAATGTCACTTGGGGGAACATAAAACTGATAATGCTGTGAGCACAGACAAACGATATGATTCCTTTGTGGTTATTTCATTATAACTGTTATGTTATATTTGTCTGAACCTACAAGTGCCTCTTTTAATGTAAATGTCAGCAAGATGGATTTGTCTGAATGATCTTTAATGTAAAAAGCAATGTCAAACTGGCCAAAACACTCAATTTCCAACTGTATAACAGGTCAGGATTCATAG